GATCCTCTGAACATCCTAATTCTGATGAAAATTTAGAACTTGGTCCAACACTTCAGAGAACAGCATAAGCTGAGAAACTAAATACGCGGTAAGCAAAAAGAAAGAACCATTATTTAGAATGAATGCTGTACTAGTTTTATTACATAAAGACTCCTGGACTGAGACGAACCTTGAGTACCAGAAAACTTCAATGACCTAAGCTCTGCTTTTTATTGTTGGCTGTTGTGTAGAGTGTTGTCGATCTGCTTAGAGGCAACTGTTGGCTTAGCAACAGGATATAGGAAGAACTTCTATCCTGTTACCTATTATTCCTGACTCAATAATAGAGTAACAGTCAAGTGTTGATATAATCTGGAACATGTTAATACTTGCTACCTTTGTGCTGTTTTGACTAGTGAAATCTAAAATGTGACGTTTACGTTTTTCTTGACAACCTGAAAACAGCAAATTAGTTGAAAAGGGAAGCTCAAAGAGGTTGAAGTATAAGTTCCCGGCAACTGTTAACACACTGCTCACCAGTTAACACGGATAGTTTAAGAATCCAATAAAAGGATACAAGATATTTTACCCAGAAAAGGAAAATACCCATCACTGAAATACAATGAAATTCAAGGATCGACTTAATGGGACTACTGAGACTGAGGAAGTCAATGAAAGAATTATTCTGCCTTTGTTTTACCTTTAGATTGCATTCAGAACAGTTCCAAATGGCTTGCATGGATACGTAACACAGAACAATGCCCATTTGGTTCAGCATATACTTTTTTTTTTTTTTTTAAAGAGACAGAGTCTGGGCAGCACCTGTGGCTCAAAGGAGTAGGGCACAGGCCCCAAATGCTGGAGGTGACGGGTTCAAACCCAGCCCCGCCCCACCCCAAAAAAACTGCCAAAAAAATAAAAAAAGTGTCTCACTTTGTCACCCTTGGTAGAGTGCCATGGTGTCACAGCAACCCTCAGCTCTTGGGCTTGGGTGATTCTCTTGCCTCAGCCTCCTGAGCAGCTGAGACAACAGGTACCCCGGCCAGATGCCCAGGCAGGATCAGCATATATTTTATAACAATTCTTGGGCATCTGCTGAAGTGTTACCCAGGTGTGACACATGACTAGACTGCAACTGTATTAATAGTGGAAGGGCCTTCAGAAGAGTTCCAACTAGTCCAGCCCCTCTGGTTGGTTAAGAATGAAAACTACAGAGAATAACTTAGAACTAAAACAGTGGCTCCCAATTCTGTACATTTACATAAAGCATCTTTAATAAACAAATTGCTTATACAGCTAAATCAGCCTTTCTAGGGGAATTTTTAGGTGCCTCAGTACTACAAAGAATAGCATAGAAGATAGATGAATCTGAATCTGAAGTGATCTACTGATAAAGACTTTTGAAAAATATATTTTCTTAAGGATTATATATGCCCTCATCATCATCCAGTAATTAGGGGTTTTCTGGATGTTTGGGTTCTCGCTTCCATTTCTACTTCTTAAAAATTTGTAGTTTGAACCATAGGAAATCCAAGTTGACCCTTTTTGACACACAGACATGTATGTTCATTTCCTATCATTCAATCTATTGGACTTATCTCAACCAGCAGTAGAGTGCAATTCACATTAACACCACTTGCCAAAAGTCTGACTAAGTAGATTAAAATTATTGCTTTATTGTAAAAGTTCTGCAAATAAACCCAAATATTAACACAAGTTAATCATGGGTTGTAAGCAACTATAATCAATTTAGGCACTGTACACACTAATAAAGGACTGAAATTTTTAAATAGGGGCTCAGCAAATTCACTGTTATCACAGATCCTTATAAAAAGGTACAAGGGATCCAACCCTTATGTTATAGCAAAAATAGGAAGACCGAGGTCTTTTTAAGAATCTTTTTTCCTGTTGGAATTTTGCCAAACCCAACCCCATACATTTAATCCCAATCTCAAGTTCCTTGAAACCTTCTGGAAGAAAATCTAGGTGTAAAACTTTCCATTACTTCTTTCATAGCTAGTTGACACAAGACTTAGGCATTACAGCCAATTTTATAATTAAAAGTGTTGATCTGTTTGCAGAGGACACAAATCTTATTTACCCAAGCCAAGTATATTTAGTCAGTCAACATTGCAAACTCTATAGACAAATTGCTACCATTATACCTGTGACTTAGTGCAAAGGGAACCGAATGGAAGAAAAAGTATCCAGTGTACACACACCTATTATGAAATTAATTTAAACCTTTTTATATGAAAGCTATAACCTAATAACAACCTAAGGATATGGGGGGGGGGGAGAGGGTGGAGTTAGAGGGATTCAAGGGTTCACTTCTGTGGTTCATCTTGCAAGGGTACAAGTGAATCTATGAGTAGAATATGAATGTTTTGACATAATAACTAAGAAAGTTACATGAAGGCTATGTTAACCAGTTTGATGGAAGTGTCTTGGATTGTGTGTGAAAACACCACACTGTACCCCCAAAGTGCATCAATGTACACAGTTACCATTCAATAAAAAAAAAAAAAAAAAAGGGAACCCAGCCACAGAACAAGCTAACATGAATGGGGATCTGCTGTTTGACTCCCACCACAGCTTATCGTTTCTCTCATCTCTATCTTTTTTATTTACCACCTGCAAGTTCTAAAACAATACGTTTATTTAAGCAGCCTCCCTCCATCTGTTCTAAGCAATGTCACAGGTAAGTTTCCGTGAACTCACTAGTTTGATGTACCGCTTCTCTTAATTCCCCATTAAAATACATGATTATTTTAAATTTAGATTTCTGTGACTCTATCCCTACAGTATTTTTACTAACGTTATTTGACCTGTTACCAAAGATACCATTTTGCAGTAGTTTTAAGCCCTTTAGGCTTAAAAGATGATGCCTCAACCAAGAATCCTATGCCTCCCAAGGTCTCAGAAAAAGATCATTTGTACCTCCACATAATTTCAGCTCTTTACTTCATGATTCAATTCAGATTCCGTGCGCAATTTCATATATATGTTAAAACAGTTATCTGAGCTGTACAAGGCCTTACAGAATACATTGTTTTGCCTTAGTCTTTGTTCAGTGTATACTAGCAACAGCAGAGATGGACCCCTCTCAAAACAAGTTTGGGAGGCTCCCTGAATTAACCGTAGTTAGTTACCTCTGGAGAGTGGGCTTTTTTTTCATTTATATTCCTGAATCTGAGTATGTCCTGTTTTTAAAAAACAAAGCCCTGATCATCACAACTCTGTAGTGCATAATTCTTAAAGGACAAAACATCAGGTTTGGTCATTTGTAATGAACCCATATTTCTTGTAAGTTACTAAGTACTGCTGTTCCAATGAATTGGCTTCAGCCACACTTACTTTTTAAGATAGTTTTGCTCCTTTCCCGTGCAATCAAAAACATTATGGAAAAAGAATTTTAGTGAATCTGTTCTACATGGGAAAAAAACGAAAAATCACTTTTCTAACACATTTGCCAAATTAGGGATTAAAATTCTTTTGATACCTTATAGTTAAGTTGTAACCCAATTATGCAAAAGAACTAAAAAGGCCAACTGTTTGACTTATTTCTGGAACTTTGATGGATTTTTTAAGAATCTGAGTAAATCTTTAAAAATCAGGATAAGAAAACTATTTGATATCTTTATGTAAAGTGCCAAAATCACACTGTTCACACCATACTTCAAAATTCTCAGTTATCAGAAACCATTTAGAAGGTTTCTGGAAAAACCACATAATACCAGCACATTTGAACCTCAATTAGAATAAATTTGGGCTCGGCGCCTATAGCTCAACCGGCTAAGGCGCCAGCCACGTACACCTAAGGTGGCGGGTTCGAATCCCCAGCCCGGACCCGCCAAACGACGACGGCTGCAACCAAAAAATAGCCGGGCGTTGTGGTGGGCGCCTATGGTCCCAGCTACTTGGGAGGCAGAGGCAGGAGACTCGCTTGAGCCCAGGAGTTGGAGGTTGCTGTGAGCTGTAATGCTATGGCACTCTACCCAGGGGGACAGCTTGAGGCTCTGTCTCAAAAAAAAAAGAATAAATTTGAAGGTTACACACAGACCTGGCAAACTTTGCATTTTTAACCTATTAACCTATTAACCTTTAGGTGATGTAAGTTAAAATTACAACATTTTTACGCACATAAACATTAACAAAAAGTGTTCAGTCCGTAGTTCAGTGGCTAGGGTGCCAGTCACATACACCAACGCTGGCAGGTTCAAACCTGGCTGGAGACAGCTAAACAATGACAACTGCAACTCCCAGCTACTTGGGAGGCTAAGACAAGAGAATTGCTTAAGCCCAAGAGTTTGAGGTTGCCACGAGCTGTGACGCCATGACACTCTACCAAGGGCAACAAGTGAGACTGTCTCAAAAAAAAAAAAAAAAAAAAAAAAACTTTGTACATAAAAAAGCCAGATGCCAAATTATAAATATAGGTTACTCTTGCTCAGTGGTTTATGTATTATAAAGCAAACCCTTTCCTAGGTCCACATTTATTTGACCTCACAATTAGCTATATAAATTAATGCATTGCTGTTTACTCTAAAACAAGTTTACTTCGCAAACGTAAGTTTGATAATGATTTTCAATCATTGGTATGAGAATCTTCAAAATTAGTTGCTTGAGACTCTAGAAGCAAATTTATTGGCCTATCACTTAAATATAGCTCATCATACTTTTTAAATAACTAAAACCAAGGTAAAAATTCTCACTTCTACCACCACTGCCTTCCATAAAGTAACCTTTCATTAGAATTTTGTAATGAAAGATTTTTTTCTCCCTGGAAGCAAATGCATTTATCAATTCCCAAAGCCATCTATTCTAACAATCTCAATTAAGTGTTAAGATTTCAAAGGATTCATTACAAAATAATTACATAGCCAACTGACATTTTAATGCTATTTATGAGAAAATATAGATGCTTTTTAAAAAGCAATCAAAGGATACTATTCTAGGCCTATAAATACCTCTAACTATTCCAACAATTGATGTAAAAAGTAGAAAGTTAAAAATCAGCAAATGGAAGATCAAAGTTTATTTACTACCTGCATACAAAAACATATTGCACATCAAACAACCAAAAAATCAAAAAAAGAAAAAGAAAGAAAGAAAAGGGGAAAAAAAAAAGAAAGAAAAAAAGGAGAGGAAGGGAAAGAAAGAACAGAAAAAGATACTCTACCAAAGACTAACATGGATTTTATACAGAACAAACCTTCTGGAAATTGATCTTTTCAGTAGTTCAGGTTATGTCTTGAATGGACATGACTAATTCAGCTTAGTGTTTTAAACTAAAGCTATGTTTGATTTTTAAATACTGTACACTTTAATAAATAAACCAAACAAAGCCTCAAGGTAGAACAGTCACTGCCAAATATCACCCAGTGTCCCTGCAGATGAGAGTTTAACAAATGTATTCCAGTGGTCTGCAGATAATCCTCTACATACAGCATTTAAAAAACACATTAAAACAGACCAGTTTCCAGACTAAACTAATGAAGAAATTACAATTCAGTGCAAAATATTTTAGACTGCATTTCATTCTAGTTTTCCTCAGGTGAAGAAGTGGTTGCATATTAAAAATGTAACAAAAGCAGCTAATGCTTCCATAAAGAATATTACCATAGGGATCCCATCCCACCCACCTCCCCCCCATCTCTGCCATATTTTGAAAACAAAATAACATTTCCTATAGCCAGCAACTTTTTTTAATGTTACATATACTATTCTCAAGGCACATCTGATGATATATTTTATAACACAGTAGGTGTCAAAGTATGTTTAACATATGATTTCTTCAGGATCCCTCCCCTTTCTGAATTCCAAATGGAGGAACTGAAAGTGCGATGTAAAGACTGGCGATCCATATTCTATCTTTGGCAAGCTTGTACAAGCGCTATTGTAAATGTAATGTAAAAGAACTGTAAACTAGGAACTTCTTCAGTTTATGAAACACCATTCAGGACTGCTGCTTCTTGAGTGTTTTCTTCTTTTAACGTATTAATCTTTTCTTCTCCTGGAGTACGCTGTAGCTTAGCAATTTCATCGCCAGAAGCACTAGTTGGGCCATTTATTGCCTTTTCTGAAGGACCATGCTCTTCAATCACATCTTTTGCCTGCCAAAGGGAGACAACTTTTTCAACTTCTTTATAAATGAAATCTATAGCTGAGGAGAAAAATAGCTATACAAACATAAGCTAATAAAAAATTTCAGTTTCATATGCCATAATGGATCAAATAATTAAAACTTTCTTAAAATTCCAAACAAATACCAATGTATTCTGCTCTCTGGGTCTTTTCTTATCCTATTACTTAGCAGTGCACAAACCGCAAGAAGCATCTGTACTGTTTAATGAAACCTGTACCCAATTTTAAACCACTGAAAAGCTCACCATGTAAATGATATAAACAGTTAATACCTTAAGTAAAACAAATAATCACCTATTTTACTCACCTTTTTTTGAATCTAAGTTTATATATCAAATTCCTCAAAGCATTTAAAAGAACTGAAATTTAAAGAGGTACACAGCCTACTCCCGGAAATAAACAAAAGTCTCTATGCCCAACATCTATGGGCTAAATGAACTTTATAAATGCTGCTTAAAGTTCTAACTGAAAAGTATTTCAGGCTCAAGCATGCATATCTTTAGTTACTTGGGGCAAAGTACAAAATCAAGAGTTTCTTCTTTAAAATATTTGTCTACTTGTGGAAACAAGTGATCATACAGTAAGTTAAGAAGTAAAAAAAAATAAAAATAAAGCTAAACCATATTTAAAAAAAAAAAAAAAAACCTACAGGTTAAATTCTCCTTACCATTTCTTTCTTGTTTTTAGCCAAAGTTTCCCTTGGGAGGTTTCTTTGTCTGCTCTGAGACTCAGCTCTAGAAATATAATCTGCAACTGTGACTGTTAAAGATGAGAAAAAAATTACAGGTGTTGAAAAATATTTCTAAAGTTTATTTATGGATTAAGAGTAATTTAACTATTAAACTAGTGGTGGGTCACCCAATTTCAAAATTTTCTAAAGCTGGGTACCACCTCCAACCAAAAACAAAGCTTGAAAAATCTGCCTGTGATTTTAGTACTGACAACAGAAAATTTCATGCTTGAGATTGAGGAAGTCCAGGCTAAAGTCCTCTCTCCCAAGGATCCAGTTTTGGGCCTCTACTTGAGTCTAGGTTGTAGGGTAAATTTGGTGTACAAACCCACAACCAATCAGAAAACACAGATGCCGTGTTCTAAGCCCAAACAGTGCTTGCAAGTATCAGACGGTGGGAAATGGGATATATTTGGTATAAACCATAGTGTGATTTATTTTAAAATTTTAAAATTTACTCAAATGTTAGTTTTGCTTAAAAAAATTTCCTGGTATGGTATGTTATATGGCTCTTTAACATTTCACACTAAAAACCATTCTAAAAGATCAAAATAAGAAACTAAAGATGACAGACCACCACTTTAAAATGTGGACACTGATCATAGTGGGAAAGGGGCTAGAATAAATACAGTGACAATCCACCCCCACCTTTGCCAGTCGTGCTAAGGACTGATTAAAAATTTGTGTTTGCAAAGAATTGGAAGTAGTAGCTAAGGGGAAAACTAAGCCAAGCTAACACTCTTCTGCCAACTCAAGTGTAATGTAAATGATCTCTGTTCTACCAGCTTTGTGGGGTGGCCACATTTTATAACTCAATCCTCTCTCTTCAAGAACCTAAAGTATAGAAGTCACTAAATTAAAGGAATTAATTTTGTCCCAATTATTGTTCACCATGAACTGGTTAACAAAATCCCTAATATATAAAATATAGTATATTTTTTTAATTACAGGAGCAAATTAATTGTGTAAAGAATGAAAACTCAAGTAAATTTTCAATTATTTATTTGAAGTCACTAAGTACGGGGAGAATGGGCCGATCAGGTTCAAATTACGTAAAATAATCACTTTTATATGTAAAAAAAGCTGGATAGTGTTTAGAATTCATTCTTAATTATGAATGAACATACTAACACTTTCATAAGATCAAAGACTTACATCAATCTTTTAAAATAATAAGTAAACAACTCATTTCAGAACTCACATCATTTATCAGAAAACCACTAAGGATGTTTCAAGTCTAAAATTGCCTCTTTCCTTCCAAATTATAAGAAACTCAGTGTGCCCATTCTAAAGTTTTAAAAACTGTCATTTTTTAAAAGTTCATTACTAGGGCGGTGCCTACAGCTCAGTGGGTAGGGTACCTGCCGCGTACACCAGGGCTGGCAGGTTAGAACCCGGCCAGGGAATGCTAAAACGATGACAACTGCAACAACAACAAAAATAGCCAGGCGTTTTGTCAGGTGCCTGTAGTCTCAGCTACTTGGGAGGCTGAGGCAAGAGAATCGCTTAAGCCCAAGAGTTTTAGGTTGAGCTGTGACCTGTGACCTGCCACCACACTCTACCCAGGGCAATGGAGGAAGACTCTGTTCCCCGCCCCCACCCCTGCCCAAGGCAAAAAAGTGCATTAGTAACGAACCTTTAAATAGAATAATAGTTTCCAATATTGGAAAGAGGCATATTATGAATCCCGTTTAATATATTATGTCTAAATCTATGGTGGCAAAATCCTTAAAAGATGAGTCTACCTACAGATTAGGAACCAGCATAATGAATGCCTTCTGGTTCCCTAGTTCAGGCCTCAGTGGCACCTGGGGAAACTCATCTACTTGGAAATCCTGCTGCTAAACTTAAATATTTGTTGAAACAGTTCTTCAAACCCTTCATCCTTATGTACATAGATCATACTTTGATACACTTAGCAATTAAGAGGCACTCAGCTGGAATCCTCCCTCCCCAAATGAAAGGGAGCCAAAAGAAACCTCAAAGAAAAACCTGTTTATAGCCAGTTTTAAAAGGTCAATACCGACTAATAAAGTATTGAGGAAAAAACAGACCCTCTGAATAGTATAATCTGTACTCTGGAATTTCCTCTAAGGGGTCCAAGTTAATAAACTGGACATTGGTATATTCTCATATTCAAAGTGTAGCAAAGAACATGCACTGTTTAATTTACACCAAGAACAACAAGAAATAATGAGCAAAAATATTAACTTTAGATGGAGACTCCTTGGCCTAGAATTGCTGCCAGGAGCAAGAAGAAACAATTTTATGCTTATTTTGCAAACCCTATCTTCCTATCTTTTGGGGAGAAGGAGCAAGTGAGGAGATGCAAGGAGTTTAAGAGAGGAAAAGTAGTAATCCCAAAGAACAAAGTTAAAATAGGAATAGATCCAAGTATGGAATACAAATCACTGCCAAATTATTGAAAACTCCTAATTATTCGTATTTTGATTAATACTATGTAGAAACTACTTCCTCTTCCACAACAAACCCCACTAAATCATTTTTCAATGCCTGTTGACTTTGCAATAAACCACCACACATCTAGTTATGTCATAATTTATTCTGTTAAAGCCCATATTGATAGCCCTGAAATTTCTTATTTATAAAGCCAGGAAAGGTATTCACTGCTGTGCCATCTTTAAAAAATGAAATATGATCCCTTTGTCTAAAATATATTTCTGGTACTAAAAGGGGAAGAAGGAAAACACATCTTCTGGACACTATTTTTTGACAGTATTTAATTCCTTTCAAAAATCCCAACTGTCTTGTACTTTTAAGAATGGGAACTAATTCCCTCAACTAGTAACTAATAAACTTAAAATATTAAAGATGCTAGTATATACACTATTTGGGAAAACACATGAAAGGATTGGTTTTGGAAAGAATGCAAAAACTGACTAGTTTGAAAGGGGTTTATTTCTAGTGCACACAATTTCTTCAATGTGAATATACACATCTCTGTACATAGGAAATGAAATTATGTTCAAAATAGTTCAAAATAATATAGACACAGCAAACAAGTTTCTTTGAAGTTACTAAAAATTATGACTACATAAAATAACATTCTAAAACTAAGTAAGTACTATTAATCTGAGTAGTTAGTAGGTGTAAGGGAAAAGGCATCACACTACAATAAACAAAGAAAAACATAACATGCATTCCTCTTATTAGGAAAAAGACTTTCAAGTATTTTACTCTTTTATACTTTTTTATAAGCTGTGGGTATTACAACTCCCACAAAAATGAGGTGCTGAATTCAGATACAGTAAAGCAGGCACCATGCAAAAGCTGCCCATTTTTGCCAATCAACTTCAATCACCATCTACAACATCGTCCCTGGGATGGCAGGCCCCATCTCAAGTGTGAACAATATGCCAGGTGAACGAAATAATGAACTTCTCAACAGTATTACCATGTAAAAAATTGTGACAAAACATTAGTTCAATTAGACAGGTTACTAAACAATTAAGTTGTGAAGAATGCATTTTCTTAGAAGTAGTAGTCTTATTAGTTGAATAAACAGTTTATGCAATGCAAATTTTGAATGGCTATGCACACATGTGTACATTTAAGTATAATATATTCAGAAAGCAGACACATGACATTTTTTCATGCTTGTGACCTGATGTTGTCAACAGGTTCACTCAAGTTACCTGGCTGTCTATCTTCTGCCTGACCCCTGAAACGACGCCTGCGGCTACGATTGCGTCGCTGGGGTTTTTTTTCACTATCATCTGTAATTGCAAAGTTTACCATGAACTATTCTGACAAAAAAAAGAAAAAAAGAAAAACTTCTTTCCTTCAAAGATTTAAAGAAAGAAAAAGATAAACTTAAGCACCAAAGATAAAACATACATTACTGACAAGAAACAGACTTTTGTACCTTTAAAGCATTTAACAGTGGAAGTATCATCTAGAATTTATGAGGGTTTTAACTCATAATAAAATAAAATCTCAGACTTAATGTAAATTACATCATTCAGGATAGAGTTTTCCTTTCCAATAGTTTGGTTTATATCAAAGTTAATGACATTTTAGCCCTTTGAAAATTGCCTACTTTTGATATATACTCCTTCATTAGTGCCAGTTGTAGTTTTAAAGAGGCAAGCTGACAGGCAGATTTAGATTTGGACACAATAAAAGCATGAAGAAGTACCTTGCAGTTCGGGTATTTGTACTGATTTAAGGTATCAAAGGGCACTTTATAATAAACACTCCCAGTTTCAAGTAATTTTGACAATGACAAGTCTGAGAACTAGACATATAAGACAGACCAAAAAGCTAGCTCCCTTGAAGTAAACACTAAAAAAAGATCAATCTGTGAATTGCATACTAGTGTTGGGGGAAAAAGCCTCATACATTAATAATATTATACAATTATATATATGTTTTCCCCAAATGCTTACATACCTAGCCCATTTTCATTAACTGAAGCAGTATCAGATTCAGTCATTCCATCCATCAGAACAGCATCTTCATCAGTCCTTCGTCTACGAGACCGCCTACGACGGTTAGTACTGTGATGAGATTCGCTGGCATCAGTGTCTGCAGTCTGATCTGATTCTGTATTATCAAGTAAGCTGTATGGATTGCTGTCTGGATCTTTGAGCACTATATTCATGTCAGAGGCAAGAAATATTTGTTTAAGAGGGCTGAAATTATAAATGTTTTGATCTATTTTGAACTATATCAATTAATGATAAACTTCAATCTCCCCCAATAAAAATGTCTTCAAATAAACGTTTTCTGTATCACTATTTTACCTGGAAAATAATAAAGATGATTAAATATGAAAGACTTTAAATGGTGATAAAATTCAAAGCAGATGAGGAGAAAAGATCTCAGCTTCCTAACACTTCATTCGACTTCTTTTGAAAATATATATTAGGAAACAGTGTATATTAAATGACAATTTTGACATCTACATTTCAAGTTAATCTTGCCCCAAGGCTAGAAAAATAAAAGAAAAATAAATAGTCAGCCAATATAAATAATTCTGGTGGCACCTAATAAGAGAAATAAATATTGAGCTAATATAAATAATTCTGGTAGCTCAAACGGCAAAGGTACTAGCCACATACATCAGAGCTGTCAGGTTTGAATCCAGCCCAGGCCTGCCAAACAAGGACAACTACAAGCAAAAAATAGCCAGGCGGTGTGGCAGATGGCTGTAGTCTTAGCTACTCAGGAGGCTGAGGCAAGAGAATCGCTTAAACCCAGGAGTTTGAGGTTGCTGTAAGCTGTGATGCCACTGCACTATACCCAGGGCAATAGCTTGAGGCTCTGTCTCCAAAAAACAAAATTAAATTAAATAAATAATTCAGAAATAGGACTTTGGTCCCCTTTACTGAGTTCAAGGTGACTGCTGCATTTGTGGTGGTATTAATGGACTATTTCCAAATAATACCTACACTCCATGATGTAACAGAAATCTGTAACTATGAACTGAATGAAGTAATCAAAACAAGTTCACACAAAGCAGCAACTTAATGAAATGCTAACTGGTTATGAAAAGGAAAATGCTGAAACAAATGTTGACTAGTAGTACTCCATCTCTAGAAACAAATCCTAAGGGTAGAGTGAAAGCAGACAAGGAAAAAATTGTAAGATATAATTCATAAGAAAAATATCCATCTTACCTATGAGCACTTATTGCCTCCAAGAATCAAATTATAGAAGAAATTCACCTAATCACAATTTTTCCTAAGTTTCCTCTGGTAACAGCTAGCATCTTTACAGAAAACACTAAGCTTATCCATTAATCATAAACACTAGGTAAAGGACATTTATTTTGCAGTTTAGCACACTATTTGAGTTTATAAACCCTGGTAATGGTGCAACAGTATACTAAAATATAAGAACTACTTCCCTGTAAGCCTGCAAACTAAAGTCCTTAATGAATATTAATGTGGAACCAGAGAGATCTTTTTTTTATTATTATTTTTGGCCAGGGCTGGGTTTGAACCCACCACCTCCGGCATATGGGGCCGGTGCCACCCCAGAGAGATCTTTTTAATAAGCCCCTAAATTTGACCCTGACTTATTTCAGTTTTTGTAACGTGTAAGCCACATTTGGCATATTTAACATATATCCACATACCTTGTATAGCATATAAAATACCACAAAACTTTATATAGGTATAACATTAAGAAAAGTGGTTTTCTCAAACTGGTATACAGTGTGTTAAAGTTATAGCAGCCCAGATATAATCTAATTCACGTAGCCTTAGTAGTGCTCTCCACTAGCTCATTATGTTAACCAAAAACATCCTGACACATCCACTTAAAGCATTCAAATTTTTTAAAAGACACAAGTAAACAAGTACAAAGATGTTTCTATACCTCAAATCTTTAGTCATTTTAACACTCTCCTTTACAGATGAATTCCTCAATCAATACAATTTGAGGCATTCACCTGTACAATTTTCTTAAAAAGTTGATTCCATAATTTTTCCTGTACCCAAATTAGCATATAGTGTAACAACGAATAATTTCTAGTAAGTTTTCAATACTAAGTACACAAAAGTATTGTGAATTCTCTATACATTAGAATTCTCTAGGTCTGTCCAGCAAACATACATAACTCAAATTCTATGGAAATTAAAAAAACAATTCCAAAGCTCCCCAAATACTGAAGAGATGAACATCTGACCCTCAATATGAAAAGAATCAGCCAACTAAAGTTCTGACCTGAATATACCTTCACTGTGGAACACTCCATAGGGCTTTTTCCTTATATTGCTAAATGGTCTACTATTTTCACCAAGAGTGAGTGGAAAGAGAAACCTCCCATGACAGGTGGCCCTAGGAGATGTATTAACTTTTGTAAAGTTATACTATTTACAAAAAATGGATGCTGACATAGTATATAAAAGACTACCAGAACTGATGGAGGATTTGCCACCACGTGGTCCACCACGACCTCGACCCCCTGAAACACTTCTGCCTCTTCCTCCTGGGCGTCTCCTGCTGTCACGCTGATGTCGGCTGTCTCGGTCATCTTCTCCTGCCAATGACCAATCACTCAGCTCATCTTTACGCTCAGATTCTGTTTCAGAGGGGTTAGACAGCTCAGAATTTGTACCTTGGGGAAGAAGAAAGCCAGCCAATTATATTTCCATTTTTAAAAAGGAGCCTGAAATTTTCAAAATTATTTCCTACAAGTTTATTAAATAAGCATAATGTCTGGATGCTTCAAGAGCTACTTTAAAATTAAAATAAATTGGAAATTTACTAAGGGATAATCAACTGTTAGTATTATACTAGTAGTACAAAACCCCACTAGTCAAACAGAAATTAAAAAATAATGTACAGAAACACAGCCCATAGAACAATTACAGAAAACACACAAACATTTTATCAATATTAAAATGCACTTAACATAAAGAGAGAAAAGTTTCTGCCCATTTAGGTTTTAGTCATCTAAATTATTAGTAAAATAAACTGTCAATATGTGAATACAAATTTAATCATATTGGAATAAATGAATAATTTGTGTATTCATTCTACCATTATTTCACTGACCCTATGGCCTACTTTTTTCTTTACATTTTACCATCTCTGTAATCAGGAAATTTCTTATAATTGATGGTGTCTTTCTTATGAACTGAATTGGAGTGTACTTCCCCAGTGGTTGTAAGATAGCATGTTTCACTAGCAACTGTGTCTCAAACTCAAAGAATATGACATTGGAAATTACTAAAAATTTAATCTTTCTCTGAGAGAGATCTCTCTCACCTGACAACCAACAGAACTGATGCCATGACCAGTGACAGGAAAATTCAGCATGCCTTTTAAATTTTACAGACCAGTTCTAACATTCCAACAACCAATTAATGGTGACCTTTCAGAAATGTAAACATTTAAAATTTCCATAAGAAATAGACAATACTATTATAATAATCAATAAAGTGGCAAATACATATGACCCAATTGCTAGTACGCTCATTCTCGCTTCAATTCTTTATTAGTTCTGGGACGCCACTTCCAGAGCTAACAAAGAAAAAAAATATCAGAACAAAATGACCATGGATATTTGGTCAAATACATCTTATCATATGGTCAAATACATCTCCTTTAGTGCCTACTTCAATTTCGAGCTTCAGATAAATTTAACTGAAAACAGACCTCTCCCCTTTTCTTATTTCCTTAAAAGCAGGGTATATCTACCATGTAGTGTGTCTCATGTCATTCTGTGTATTCCTCCTGTAGAATTACTTCAAAATTGGTCTTTGATAAGGGTAGAACTTCGTATTACACCTCTAAACATACCCAAAAGCCTAGAAATGTACGTATACACTATGCCTAGTATAACAATTTTCTTGACCAGTAAATTTACTATCACATGCTGTTAACATTCATTCCCCAAATAAGACTGATTCGTAAAATACCTAAAAGCTTCCTACGTTTAGGCTCGGCACCCGTAACAGTGGTTACAGTGCCAGCCACATACACTGAGGGCGGTGGGTTCAAACCCAGCCCAGGCCAGCTAAACAACTGCAACGAAAAAATAGCTGGGGGTTGTGGTGGGTGCCTGTAGTTCCAGCTACTTCAAAGGCTGAGGCAAGAGAATTGCTTAAGCAGAAGAGTTGGAGGTTGCTGTGAGCTGTGATGCCATAGTTCTCTATAGAGGGCAGCATAGTGAGACTTTGTCTCAAAAAAAAAAAAAAAGTTCCCTATGTTTTAACTCCACAGTCTTATGAAGATAAACATGCAAGAAGAGATCTTCAGAACAAAAGGTAAAGTTTAACAAATCAAGGTGACTACTTCCTTTTTCCTTTAAAGGTTAAGTCTAGAGCACATGCCTTTTTCTCCACATGCTAAGTATGGATGTAGAATGAATTAAGTAATTGTTGGAAATGCATTTGCCAATGAATATATCCAGTTTCTATTATGAACTTTCAAGTCTTTGTTGAGAATTAGATCTCACAGAAGGGAATGAATCTCCCCCAACACTACTCAAAATGACCAAAAAAAAAAAAAAAATTAACTGAGTTTCAAAAATACTGGAATAAAGGCAATTTATCATATGAATGGCAGAAAAAAAAAAAAACCTTGAGAATGCATAAGAACTTTCGAAGTTAATTTACAAACTCATGCTCTGCCATAAAATGTTACCAAAATTTAAGGTAGATGATGATTTCAGTTTGAAACAGAAGTTTCTTTTAAACTCTCCTGAAGGCTCGGCGCCTATAGCTCAACCGGCTAAGGCGCCAGCCACGTACACCTAAGGTGGCCGGTTCGAATCCCCAGCCCGGACCCGCCAAACAACAATGGCAGCTGCAATCAAAAAATAGCCGGGCGTTGTGGCGGGCGCCTGTGGTCCCAGCTACTTGGGAGGCGGAGGCAGGAGACTCGCTTGAGTCCAGGAGTTGGAGGTTACTGTGAGCTGTAATGCCACGGCACTCTGCCCAGGGGGACAGCTTGAGGCTCTGTCTCAAAAAAAATAAATAAATAAATAAAAATAAACTCTCCTGAAAAATCTATAGTGTAGTAAAAAGAAATCCTTCCTTAAAATTAACCTAAAACTAGTATTCAAAAATACTTACAGCTCGGCACCCTTATTAGTTCAGTGGTTAGGGTGCCAGCCACATACACCAAGGCAGGTAGGTTCAACCCAGCCCTGGCCTGCTAAACAACAATGACAACTGCAACAACAACAAAATAGCTGGAGGTTGTGGTGGGCGCCTGAAGTCCCAGCCAACTTCGGAGGCTGAGGCAAGAGAATCGTGTAAGCCCAAGATTTTGAGGTTGACGCCACAGCACTATACCAAGGGCGACAGACTGAGACTCTGTATCAAAAAAAATAAATAAATAAATTTAAACGAAGTGTCTAACTCATAGATTTCAGTAGGAAAGATTGAAGTCAAAAGCAAAAAGGCTAATGAACTGGCTCGTGCTCAGTTTTATTCATATTACATAACTCAGTAATTTGGACAGAGCCTGTAGCTCAGTGGATAGAAACCAGCCCCAATATACCGAGGGTGGCAGGTTCTAACTCGGCCGTGGCCAAACTGTAACAAAAAAATAGCCTGGCGTTGTGGCAGGCGCCTGTAGTCCCAGCTACTCGTGAGGCTGAGGTAAGAGAATCGCCTAAACCCAGGAGATGGAGGTTGCTGTGAGCTGTGTGATGCCACAGCACTCTACTGAGGACGATACTCTTGTCTCTACCAAAAAAAACAAAACGAAAAAGTCAAACATAACTCTCAGTAATTTGTATCTGATGTTTTTTGTGATGGTAAAAAGCAATCTGCAAAGGAGAATATGGGTAAGAAACTTGAAATGGGGAGATAATCCAGGACTATCTAAGTAGGCCTAAACTAAATCTCACAGGTCTCTAGTAGAGAACCCCTCTCAGCTTCAGAGAAGGGGATTCATCTAAAGCAGGCGTCCTCAAACTGCAGCCTGGCCAGGACATTTATCTGGCCCGCCGGGTGTTTTTCCCACCGCTGCGTGTCCTGGGGCCCTCCAATGGTCTGAGGGACACTGAACTGGCCCCCTGTTTAAAAAGTTTGCAGACCCCAAGCCTCCAAATAGAATAAAATTCAGCTGACTTGACACTTAAGGTTTTAGCCCAGTAAACCCCATGTCAGTCTTCTGACCTACAGAACCATGAGATAATAAATCTGTGTTGTTTAAGCCTCTAAGTTTGTGATAATGTATTACAGCAACAGAAAACAAATACTCCATAGAAACTGCAGTCATTTCAATCTCTCAATTTCAATAAAATGTTAAGTTCATGATTCAAAAAATTTTTACAACGAATCCCCAACAATTAAAAAAATTTTTAAAGGCTTTAGAAGTGATTCATGATACTAATACAATTTTTTAAATATCTTTTAAATATCTTTTAAATATCAAAATAAAGGCAACCTGTTTTTAGCTGGCTTTTAAGTCAGATTTTCCCTCTAAAACTTCTAGTCACCTTATCATGAAGATGGTTTATATTGTTTTCAATGGTCATGTGAGTTAAGCTTAAGAGCTAAACATACCACATTTTATCAAATCCAAATTGCCATCAATTTTAAGACTTATTTTTGTGTGCCATTAAGAAAGACAAAATACAGCTAATTAATGCTGTTAAGACATCCAATGCAAAACACATACCAACTTCAGAGATGTTACAATGGAAAATGGTTTTTATAATTCTTATAGAACTGATGTAATCTAGCTGATATACATTTATATATCTTATATAAATGACAACTGTTCTATGACAATTACATAATACGATACAGTTCTATAAGAATTCTAATTATAGTTATATAATCACCTAAAACTCCTTCTGATGACTGGGGCAGCACCTGTGACTCAGTGGGTAGGGCACCGGCCCCATATACCAAGGGTGGCTGGTTCGAACCCAGCCCCAAACAAACTGCAACAACAACAGGAAAAAAAAAAAAAAAACCAGGCGTTGTGTCAGGCACCTATGGTCCCAGCTACTCGGGAGGC